TTACATATGGAAGCAAATTATGTCGTAAAATGCCTTTTTTTCTTACTTCCAATATAGGAAGAAACCTCGAATGTGTTATTTTCACTAGTGAAAATATCAATTTTACAAAATGGAGAAATATAGGTATTTCATAGATAATTATATGATAAATAGAGGATATTACATGGGCGCGCGGAGATACGGATTTTATCTTCGAGTGTTGAAAAGATCTCTCACGAGTGAGCGTAGCGAAAACATGGAAAACCGGCACCATGACGAGGCGTATGAGGAAATGATTCAATCTCGTACCCAGAGCCCGCACTTTTGCCATCCAGTGGATGTCAATGCGTGTCTCACGAGATTGGAAATGATTGAGATACTCTTTCCGAATATTTCATCTTCTATAACTTCACAAAACAGTGGATGGTTATTACTTTCTATAGTCTAGTGACTTTTTCACAAGAAAATAATGTTGTCTAGGACGCTTTCACATTGGACTTTGGTCTATAACTCCAAGAAGGCCTATTGGCATAGGTTTATAATAAAAACATATTCCATCTAATTTATAAACTACCTGATAGGCAATGTCTGCATTAATCGGCACTTGTGCTATTGACCAGCGGTTATTCTCATGGTGACCAGTAAACCGCCATAGCAACGTCTCGGCGCCACTAAAGTTAACATTTAATCGTCCTGGATCAGAACCGTTGAAGAGATATGAGAATGAAAGACAATTCCTGGAATTTACTACAAAACCAGTGCGATAGAACTCTTTTTTTCCYTTGTAGTTTGGAAAAGCTGTGGTTGCATTCCAATATCCCGGAACTTGAAGTACTGAAACCAAAAATAAAAAAAATGAGTTTTTGTTTGCTTGTTTGCTGTTTTTTTTTGTTGTTTTTTTTGGGGGGGGAGGGGTATTTTTACTATTTGGCTTTTTTTGTTGCATGGAGACAACTGGAAAAGGTTCCCTTATAGGAAATGCTTGCGAAACAGATTTAGATATTTACACGTTGTTATCATGAACTTTTTAAATCCGTGCGCAAGAAGCTAAGGTTTAGTGTGCAAACAATAAAACCATGAAAATTTTTGATAATTAAGTAGTGTTAAATTGTACTGAATTCCAAAGATATTTTTTATTTTCCATGGCCTCCGGTCTTTTATCTTTTCAATCTCATGGGAATGATTGAAAACGATCATTAATACGAATGGAAAAAACTGTCGAAAAAAACGATAAATTATAAACTGCCTTATGAGTAAACAACCACTAATTTACCTTCAACTTCCACTTCACATATTCCAAATGACTCGACTTTATCGTTTTGTAGCGTGGATGCGATTCTCACGTAGCGYCCTCGCGGTCGATCTTGACAGTAAAACCTACCATGTGACTGCTTGTAAAGTGTAAGGTCTTCTCCACATTTACTGCCGTTCACATTGCCAGTCTCATTCGAAATGATTATCTCAAAATTTTGAAGATAAAGTCTTTTGTCATTAATGCCGTATTTGTAAACAGATATAAAGATATCGGATATCAAGTACTCCTGTTCGAGGTCTATTTCTAGCCATGGTCTTATTTTGATATTATTAATATCAATGCAGTAACCTGCAGACCAGGTTGTCGATTTGCCATCTACGGCTCTTAGATGATTGGCTGTAGAAGGAAAAGCTGTTGCTTTCTTCTTGTAGGCAACATTCAGGACTTGAGCAGTTTTGTAAAAGTCTTGGAAAGGAAAAAATAAAGACATAAATTACTTAGTTTGTACATTATTTTAGTAGAAATGCGTTTCAATCACATAAGACATATAGCTAATTTCAAAAAAGGTTGTCGGATAAAATGGCGAATGTCAATGGTTCCAATGGTCGAACGGCGATTACATAACCGAAAGTAGCCATGGGTTTTGCCTGTTGAAAGGCAATAACAACTGATTTGTACTGTAAGCCGATGGTCTGTGGTGAACATTGGCTCCATTTAGTCTCCATTTCTATGGAAGGTGAATCCAGTAAGTGAAATTTTGTTTATCAAAACAGTGTAACCACAGTCCCTTTTGGTCGTGGCAACGTTCGCCGTTCTCACTGACGTTTTTTGAAATAGCTGTATACAGTCAAACGCATAGACGTTGTTCAGTTGTAAGGACATAAAGAAGAATATTCAACATAAAGTTCCAAAAACTTCTTTACAATGTCATTAACATTTAATTCGCTATTTAACTAAATTTAGAATCAAAATTCTTCCTGGGAATTTTAAAAACTGTTTTATGCAAATGAGTTTGTTGTTCTCTTTATATCGTTACAACTGCACAAATGTCTCTTCCATTGACGAGAGAGGTCCGGAGTTCGAACCCCAACGCTGACATGATTTTTTTTTYSSYT